AAAAAAAAAAAAAAAAAAAACACAGATAACTTAAAAACAAAGACGCAGATAACAAAAAAAAAAACGCAGATAACCACAAAAAAGACGCGGAAAACCTTTGCTCCGCAGATAGCAATCCTATGTGGCATGGCGGGAAGCAGTGAGGAGATTTAGTCTTCCACCTGAGCCTCAACGTGTCACGCACAGGTGAGCCCCAGCGGCACCGTGAGCGCCGGCATCTCATGCTTGGGTGTGCCGATGTCAGTCACTGTCCTCTGCACGACCAGAAGATGATGATGATGATGAATGAATACACAGATAAAGTTATAAGAGTGTAGATATGTATATGAGTCGCGCAGGCATTCCGGGGTTTCACCCACATTTTCGGGATTCGAGAAATGCAACGTAACGTAATGTAATGTGATGTAGGGCAAACGGCGTGGTTGAGCTGAGACCTCGAAGACTCAGCTTCAACGTCCATCTGTCTAAGCCACAAAGCCCTTCATGACTCGCTGGGCTTCGTTGGAAATGGCCCAAACCTTGGCTCAGGAAGTCCAGAGCCTCGACCAGCCCGCCGGGATCGCAGGGATCCCAGGAGGGCTCAACATGCGATGATTCGGCTCTTTTTGACTTCTCCTTCCCTACCTTCAACGGAGGGGTCGCACCCAATAGTTCAGCTTGAGAGTGCCATGGCACCCTTCAGTCAACCTCCAAATCTGAAGCCTCGGAGCCTGCTCGGACTGACGACGTTAAAGGGGTGTAGGCATTGGTTGTTGACCGCAGTCCAAGTGTCAGGATGTGAACGCTAGGACCCAAGGGCTTCAGAAGAGCTTGCATGCTGATTCACTCCAGGCAGGGTTTTTCAAATGCTTGTGAGTGCTTCATTGTGAGAGTCCCGCTTGGAGGTCTGTATTGGGGTTCTTCGCGGGCATATCACTTTGCCAAAAAATCCCCAGTGAATACCAAGCTAGGAAGCTTCAGTTTCGACACAAAGCAAAACCACGATTGAATCTTGGTACTTGGCTGTGACTCCCAGGTAGCGAGGAGGAGCGGCGCGACCGCGCCGGACCCAGTCTCGCAGCAACAATTTTGTCTGGAGCTTGTGGTAAGACGACAGAGTCGTGGCAAGAGTTGTGGTTGCAGGAAAAAGGAAAGTGGTAAAGGTGCAGAGTGTGGCACCAACCCCACACAGCCGCCGCAGCTGAGATCCAAGACTTTCCACATGTGATCTTCAATTCAGAAGGTTGCAAACCACAAGTTGTTGCAGGGTTTCGATGAGGACTCAGGATGGCGAGATGCCTCAATTCTGAGGCTCTAGCTTCGCCTTCAGGTTTCGAAGCATGTGTTTTGGAGCCAGTAATGCATACGGATGTCAGTTTACTATTGCAGGGGTCCCAAGCTTCTTGCAGCTCGCTCAAGATGTAGTAAACCCATCAACCCATGAGTCCCATGAGTACAGCAGCATTTTTTGTAAGAGCACCAGAAGAAACACACCGTTGTGAGGAAACTCTGGCGGCACCCAGAAAAGTCCAGAAATTCCTTGAATCGAATCAGACTGCTGAAGTCAGGGCCAGAAAAACGGCGAGAGCGTCGCCTCCTCAGCCCTGATGCTGTACCTGCTGTGCCGGTGGCTTCCTATGGGCAACTTCACGGGTCTTCACAGCACATCTCTTAAAGCAGAGTTTCTGGGGTTCTCTAGGCTCTTGGTGAACTTGGGTACTGCGTGGCCGAGAAGACTACAGTTGATGCACATTTGCCACATGCTGAGGATTCATCTCAACCAGAATGAAAAGGTTTTGCCAGGACGAGAGCCATAGCTGCCTTCTGAATCCTCCAAGTCAGCAGTGGATGCCGGATTCCGTCCTGTAAGTGTTCTTTGACCTTTGGTTACCTTTCCCAAGAGCCCTCAGCGGGAACTGGGACGTGTTGGGCGGAGCAGGACTTGGTCACGAACATCACCCGTCAGCCGTAGACTTCAAGCCCAAATCCGTCCACCCAATGCTGAAGGCACCTGTATACTCGCGCGCCTGGAAGCTTCTTTTTCGTCTGGAGCCGCTTTTCAAGGCTGAAAACCCTGCAACCCCTAGCTGCCACCTGTAGCTGTGTAGCTGTGGCATCCCACTCGTCAGTGTCCCGAGGCGAGCCCTCCTCCGACGAAGATCGTAACACACGCGAGGAGCCCAAAGGCAGCCTCTCGAGCCCTAAACTCCTCCTATGTGTTGAGTTCAGGTGAGCGGAAGCAAAAGCCAGCCGAGAAGGAAAAGGCGCCACTGTACATTTCAATGGGGATGTGCATGGAGCTCAGTCTGGTGTTTATAACCTCCAACTGTTCGATAGGCTTCGCCAGAAACAGGAGTTGGGTATTAAAAGAACCGAAATCACATCATGTTGTCGCATAGCCTCAACCATGAACCCGGAAGCCCAAGCTAGCAGCTGTGAGCCCCGACGTTCTCAGTCTCAAATGCTGAAGCTGCAGGCGGCGGAGGAGAAGCCCAAGAAGTCAAAAGCGCCAGAGGCACCACAGCTACTGACGCCTTGACTTGAGATCTAAGGTCAGGGAGGACTTGCGGCACTTGGCCTTTCACATGTTTTGGGTCTCTTGCTGCGGGTACGTAAACATGGCCGAAAACCATTGATTTAAATTGGAAATCTTTTTCATGACATGA